TTAATAACCTTAAACCGGGTAAGCAAGGCTCCGCACTCGTCTCAGCCCGCTAGCCATCGAAGGTTACACCCCTTACGGGGTCCGCATCTCTGCGGATAGGCCCAGGGACTTTCCCGGGTTAGAGAGGCACCCGCTCACTTCGTCCTAAGCACTGGTACTGTCTCAAGTTGGCTTCAAGTTTATAAAGCGCCTCGTCTAAAGAGAATTAACCGATGTGGGATTAAAGCCACTTGGGTTGAGGTTCCAGCCCAGGGAAGCGGAAGAATGCTCACAGCAGCAGCAGGGGTGGGCTCCCGATCAATGGCAAGGACCTCGGTGTACACCGTCAGCAACTCGTCCAACGAGTTTGTTTTGGTTTCTGACCCCAACGACGCCACGAAGTCCCATGGCCTGCTTTGCTTTCGGCGGGAGGACGCCCAGGCTCTGCACGCTCAGGTCAGGGGACAATTCTCTCTACTTCAGGGTTTAGGTGGATCCTGCTTGGGCGTCGAAAATTTTCTAAAGCTTGTTTCATCATGGAAATTTTTTTTTTTTTTTTTTTTTTTTTTTGCTGCTGCTGCTTGATAGAAAGATAAACGGAGCAATTTTTGTTGCGATTGCCGCTGCTGTTGGTAATTTGCTTCAGGGCTGGGATAATGCTACAATTGCAGGTAACATCTGTTTTCAAAGGAAACGAGCAGCAATTTATATCTGTTAAATCCCTACTACATGTTTAATCCCCAAATTGAAAAGTGAGAATTATGAGCAGCAGCTAGATCTATTGAATTTGGTTCCCAGTCCACAGCTGCGTGCTCCTTTACTTATTATATATATTTTTTCTCTTCAGGGGCTGTTCTTTACATAAAGAGGGAATTTCAATTTAGAGGCTCAGCCCACCATCGTCCCTAATCGGAGCCACAATCATCACAACATTTTCGGGGCCAGCCTCCGATTATCTCGGCCGACCGACGACCCATGTTAATAATCTCATGAGCTCTCTACTTTATAGGCAGCATGTTAATGTTATGGGCTCCCAATGTCTACATGTTACGCCTGCAAGACTCGTTGACGGCGGCCTTGGCATCGGTTTGTCAGTAACTCTTGTTCCTGTTTAGACATCTGAGGCTGCACCAGCTGATATTAGAGGGTTATTGAACACGCTCCCTCAGTTCTGTGGCTCCGGGGGGATGTGTTCTTTTCGTATTGCATGGTTTTTTTTGTATGTCGTTAATGCTGCAGCCAAATTGGAGAGTGATGCTCGGAGTTCTGTCGATCCCTTTGCTTTTGTATTTTGCTCTGACCATATTTTATTTGCCTGAATCCCCGAGGTGGCTTGTGAGTAAAGGTCGAATGGCTGAGGTGGAAAAAATTCTTCAGAGGTTACGCGAAAGGGAAGATGTTGCAGGTTCGGAGCATTATTATCCTTCTGTGTTCCTTTGGATAAGAATAGTGTTGTATCTTAAGCCGAGGAATATTAATTTTTTTTTATCTAAATTAAGAAATGTTCTTGAAATTTTCATTTTTGCAAGTAAGGAATGTTATAACGTGGGGAAAAAACAAAACAAAACAAGTAGGTATTAGTTCTTCAAACTTTTAAGGAATATAATTTTTTGCGCAACATTAAGGGGTGATATTCTTCTTAGTATGCAATTCCTAGTTCATAATGCGAAAATATGTACAATAAACATTATATTGCGTAGATAATTATTTTTTGGCTTCTTGCAGTGGCAGAAACTTTATCCTGAATCTCTGGTATTAGGCGTTTGATATCCTTTGATAAAGTAACAGCTGTTGTGGGTTCTTCTTCTGGTGTCCTTTGTTTTTCCTTGAACATGGAAGAACTTAAATCCTCTAGTTCCTCTTTCTGTTGCATGTTTTGCTAGGGTAGTTCTCTTGCAATCTGTTACTTCTTCCAGCAGTGCACACATTTTTCTCATGTACTGTTCTCATCAGTTCCTAGTTATGCACGAGTAGCTTGCAAACTGTCATCAGTTCCAAATCAACTGTCTAGCCCTTGTGTATGTCAAGCTAATGTTAAGAGTACATCAACAACACCATCATCAATAACGACAATGACAAAGCCTTTATCCCAAATTTTTTGAGGCTGGCTAAATGACTCCTATTCTTCCATTTTATTAAATGTTATTTTCTCTATTACGTTAAGTGTTACCATATCCTTCTTAATTACTTCCGACCAAGTTTGCTTAGGCGCGCATGTCGTCTTCTTTGCTCCATTAATTATATTCTTATCACTTTTTATAACTAGTGCACTTTGTGGCTTTGATTGCACATGAGGACACAATGCTAAAAGTGAGAACCTTTATTGAGGACTTTAAGCTTCTATTTCTATGGAAAACCAGAGTTACAATACTCTCATTAGGTATGATTGGACCTAGCTGCAAATGGATTGGACAATGAGCGGATGCAATATATCTGTATTTGTTTATCTTTCAGTAAATATGGATTCTGATATTGAAACTTCTAACTCGCGGATGCAATATATCTGTATTTGTTTATCTTTCAGTAAATATGGATTCTGATATTGAAACTTCTAACTCTATATCCATAACAGTCAGTTATGAACTTCAATTCATATTTGATTCAGATGTTGGCTAGACATGGTGGAATATAAATAAAGCATTGACAAAAGGATGAGCATATCTTTAGTTTAGTACCTTTTAAATGGGAATGTAAAAATATATAAGATCTTGAGCTTGTTTTTCTTTAACCAAGACTTTACATTTAGTATTTTAAGTATCAAAGACATATGTGCACTAAAACAAATTCAGAATATTTGGATAATGTAACATATAAAAATTCTATCCTTCTGCAGTTTTCGGGCATCAATGGGGTTCTCTACTACACTCCTCAAATACTAGAACAAGCAGGCGTAGGACTTCTTCTCTCGAATCTTGGCCTCAGCTCTACCGCAGCATCAATCCTTGTAAGCGCCCGGTTACCTTGTTAATGCTCCCTTCCATAGGTATTGCCATGAGATTCATGGATATTGCTGGACGAAGGTCTTTTTTTTTTGGTCAATGAAAAAAACTTTATTCATCTTCCAAATTTGAAATTCAGCACAACAAATTTCTCAGCAGAACTGAGATTACAAAAATAACTAGCACAAAACTTCCCTCAAGCAATTACAAAGAACTAATACATTCTCTGTTTTCAGCCTTAAAAGAGCCATTGAGGACACTAGTTAAAATGCTGAACTTGATTTCTTTAAACAATTGATCGGCAATTTTCATTTCTTGTTTGAAGATCCTGGAATTCCTCTCTCTCCAAATGCTATATATTGTTGAGGTAAGAGCCATCTTCTTTATCTTTTGCTTGAATCCATTCCCCCTCAATCTAAAACAATACCATATCATAATCTGATTCCAGTTGCAAGACTTCCACCTGAATTGTAGCCAATCCATGACCCAAACATCCCTTGAATAGTAACATTCAAAGAAGAGATGATCCCTGCTTTCAGAACCAGAGCACATGCGACAATTGTTGATATTCACAATTCCCCTTTTGATCAGTCTGTCAAGTGCGAGCAAACGGTCTTGGACTGCTAACCAACAAACAAACGAATGTCTGGGGATGTTCGTAGTCTCCCAAACTGTGCTATACCACGACACTACAGAAGAAACAGGGGAGAGAGCATTGTATAATGCTGAAAGCTGGATATTTGAATTACCGGAACAAGATTGTATGAGCTGTATCAGGTTGCCAGCACCTACACAGAGTCTTAGTGTAACGCCCCACCCTGGAATCCCGGGGTCGGTACGCTACTAGATCTGATGGACTGGCCTCACAAACCACCACATGTCTTTTTAGCACGTTTTTGTCCTCACTCACGCGCTCACTGAAAAACTTCCCAGGGGATCACCCATCCTAGAATTTCTCCAGGGCAAGCACGCTTAACTTTGGAGTTTCTAAGAATTAGGTTCCCGATAAGAAGATGCATCTTGATGGTATGAGTATTCCAATCAAATCTATCAATACTAATCACATCACCCTCTCAAGGGTTGGGGTATTACATACTCCCCCACTTAAACTCACAACGTCCTCGTTGTGCTAAACCATATCATCCAAGACCGTACCATCCGTGTGAGATTCTAGAGGTGGCTCCTACGGCCTCAAGAGGTGGCTCCCATCCTCTCGACGTAGCACTTTGCGCCGCATAGCACTTAGCTCTCACAATTCCGGTTGGCTTGGCTCTGATACCATTTATAACGCCCCGCCCTGGAATCCCGGATTCGGTACGCTATTAGATCTGATGGACTGGCCTCACAAACCACCACATGTCTTTTCAGCACGTTTTGTCCTCACTCACGCGCTCCCTGGAAAACTTCCCAGGGGGTCACCCATCCTAGAATTTCTCCAGGCCAAGCACGCTTAACTTTGGAGTTTCTAGGAGTTAGGTTCCCGAAAAGAAGATGCATCTTAGTGGTATGAGTATTCCAATCAAATCTATCAATACTAATCACATCACCCTCTCAAGGGTTGGGGTATTACACTTAGAGTTTTATCTCTGCCTTTCAATATCTTTTTTCACATCCATGAATCCCAACTTTTTGCTTGAATATGCCAGACATCATTATGCTTTAAATATGTACTATGTATCTACTTGAGCCACAGATTCTCCTTATTAACATGAATATGTCAGAGTAGTCTCAATGTTGATGCCATATTCTATGTAGTTGCAGACTAAATGCCTAGACCACCATGCTTCCTACTCAAGCAAGCTTTATCCTAAGAAATAAGAGGAATTTTGTGAATATGTTCAGTTTTGCCCCACAGGAAACTTCTGCACATTTCATCAATTTTCTGCAGCACTTTAACAGGCAAGACATAGTTTGAAGTCCAATAGATTTGTATGCCAAGAATAACACTCTTGATTATCTGTTTTAACAGGCAAGACATAGTTTGAAGTCCAATAGATTTGTATGCCAAGAATAACACTCTTGATTATCTGCAATCTGCCTGCATATGAAAGAGACAGTCCAATAGATTTGTATGCCAAGAATAACACTCTTGATTATCTGCAATCTGCCTGCATATGAAAGAGACCTGTTTTTCAAACAAGCCTGCAACTGACCTGATATTTTGTTTAAGAGAGGAGTGCAGTCAATGTAAGATAATTGTTTGCATATCAAAGGGACTCCCAGATAGTTGATAGGTAAGGCACCCTCGGTGAAATTCAGGAAGTTGTCAACAAGACTTTTAGTGTTTTCATCAACCCCACCATAGAAGATTTTGTATTTTCCTGGATTAGCTTCCGGACCTGATACAGCACTAAAATCCTTGAAGCATCACTGAATGTAGGTCTCCCTTTGAGAAGAGGAAGAGGTCATCAGCAAATATTAGATGTGTGATTTTCAAATCACCACATCTAGGAAGGAACTTAAAAGACCTGTCCTCTTTAAGCATATCCAGTTTCCTAGAGAGAAACTCCATACCCAATGTGGAACAAGTAAGGTGAAAGAGGATCACCCTGTCTTAAATCTCTTTCTCATTTGAAGTAGCCATGAAGGGTGCCATTTAAAGAGATGGAGTACCTGGGAGAAGAAATGCATACCATATTCCAGTTTGTAAACTTTGCAGGAAAACCAAGGCCTTTTAGCATTTCTTTTAGAAAATCCCAATTTATAGTATCAAAAGCCTTCTTGATATCAATGCTCATCATAATCCTGGGGGAAATGTTTTATGCTGTAATTCTTCACAATCTCATGATGAGCAAGTAAGATATTGCTTGAAATTTGCTAATTAACCCTCCAGTTCTACTACGCTGAGTTAATAATACCCCCAAATTTATCATCCTTAGTTTTTGAATATTCCTTAACATAGCTTTTGGGGTTATTTTAACTCAATGTTGTATATAAACAGTTGGAAAAGTAATTGTCCGAATAATAAGAATAAATATTCATGCATTAAAGTGAAAGAAAAAGAAATTCGAAAGAAAGAACTCGTAGATTCCCTCCATATACTGTTGACAACTTTATAAATCAATGAAATCAACATGTAATGTTAAAGTTGAAGAAAAAATTGTATGGAAGTTATCGAACAAAATACAGAACAAAACTAGATAGGTGGCTTTTGATTTTCTCCATTCTCCAATGGATGATTCACAAACGTAAACTCCTCATCCCCATGTCCCTCTAAATTCAAACAGTGCTCAATTTTTTCATCAACACCGACTTCTCTATTATGCTTAAAGCTCGGTATCAAATTCGTCGCAGATGAAGGCGAAGACATATTCTCAGCTTCTTGATCTGAAATCTCTGGGTCCGAGAAATAAGACAACCTCGAATGGTTTCGAGTTACTCTTGAGTTTATACCGAGAGTTCTTGATCGAACGAACTGGTGAATACGCGACGACGCGTTAGGTGATGCCATTGTGCTTGTGCTTGGACTTACTGATGGAGATTGAAGACGTGATGTTTTGTGCTTTCTCTTTACTGCTTGGTGCCATTTCTTGAGAGCCAGGGAGGTCTGCTCATCGAAGATTGATCTTTTCATATGCGAGCCCATCTGGGGGGAGAAAAAACATAGAATCTCCTAAAATGAGGACTAAACTGTAGGATGTAATGAATCTCTTGAATTATGACCAATTAAAGTTTCTGATCATTGGCGGCGCAAAATTTTGAATGAAGAGCATTCCAAAGTTCAGGAGGTTTTAGTATAAGTTTGAAATTGTCATACCTGGGATACAAGGGCATAAAGTGGAAGTGTAATGTAGCTGCACACAAATTGGACTGCCGCGCTGCAAAATGGCACGAAGAAGCTGTAAAATTAATACAAAAAAATTGTGTTTTAAGATAGATTACAGTTGCTCGACGATACACTTTTCCATGTTTTTCAAAAATTTCCAATGCATGCTAAGGTCTTTATAGGTCAACAGCACGCACTAAGTAATTGATCACAGATGTTGCTTTAAAATTCTTTTTTAAAGAAAATTCCTTGCATACTTTCTGCGAAGAAAACATCGTAAGAAACAGGGAATACTAAAGAAACTGAGGCATACCCAATGCAGACTCTGCCAATGGTAAGCCCAAGATTTTCATGAAAGCAAGACCTTAGTCCGAAATCATACTGCACGAAGAGGGAAATTTGAAGAAAAGCTAACATAGGTAAAACGTCGAACATCAATAGAAATCAGAAGCTTACCCATATCCAGAAGAAATACGTTATTTGAAATGCATTCTGCACATGATAAGGAAAGAGAACTCGTTAGAACTCATGAAACTTAGGGGAAGCTAGCTAGGAGTAAGCATACGGCATTGACCTGTGAATTAGAAAATAAAATAAAATAAAATAGAAAAGAAAAGGAAAAAAAGAGGAAAGGAAAGAGAACTCATTAGACTTCACCGAAACGGTAAACCGCTTACATAGATATCACTTTTGCCGCCATTATCACATAATCCTCAAATTTGGAAGATGGGGGGAAAATTGATCTGGTTACAAACCTGAAATAATGAGAAATGGATGAGAGACAGTACTAGCTGAGGACGGCCGAACCAAAAATGTCTATTATCAAGGTGCACCACAGGGATTCCTTGAATAACTTGATGCCTTTCTTGAATCTCAACAGCCATCGTCGCGATGATAGCTTGAAGTTTTGTTCCAACAGCAAGAATAATCTGCATACCTCAAAGTTAGTGATAATTTTCACAGCGAAAAGGAAAATAATTAAGCTTTTAGAGATATTACTGACAACTGGGGGAAGTAGTGTTGCCCAAAATAATTCATGCCATCCTGAATGGAGATACGATGAAGTTAATATTCAGGATTAAATTTGGTTAATGAGCTCGAAAAATTGGACATAGCTTAAAATGAGACTAGTGTTAAGGTCAGTTACCGTGAACGTTAAGAAGCAAAAAGAGCACAGCAGAAACCCACAAGAGAGGACTGATCAGGCATCGTAATAAATATTGTTAAACTCAATTCGATATCAAACCTTAAATTGAAATGAATCTTTAAACTAGAACAATATTGAAGGATTTCCTACATGATTTTCTTCAAACACAAACATGGATTTTTCATAGCAACTAGTTTGAAGTAAACCGTTATGTTACCTGATTCCAACTACTATTTTGAAGTCATCTTCTAGTGACCTCAGTATATACTTTTGGAAGTTGAACTTGCTTCCAGGAGCCAAATGCACCTATAGCAAACAACATGGCTGATGAAGCTCATAAATTAAAATGCATGATGAGCATCAATCACTTCAAAATGAATAAAGTAAAATAAAACAAGATACTCACGTTGATGAATCCATGGCGCATGGCTAAGTAATCTGTTTTTCGAACAGACCTAAAGAACTGATGAAAGAAACTGCCCTGTAAAATATGGATTTTTGAGGAACTGACAGATATAAATCAAATAAATGTTCAAAAGATCTAACTAATAAAGGGATGTTAGATCTAGTTATATTCGAGAAGAGTATAGGTGTTTTTATGCATAATACACAATATGCATAATCAAAAATAACTTTTTCCTCAATGAAAATATTCCTTACAACATATAGAAAAATAGGGAGCCTATTCCAGAAGCTTGTGTGTTGTCTCACAAAAGTCGTGTCTAGAGCGAATCTTAATCTCGAAGGATCTGCAGAGGACAAATTAAAACAGTTAAGCAGCAAAAAAGAATTTGTGATCAAAATTTGAATTTTACAAGTAAAATTAACCTCTTGAACTAAATAACAATTACATGATTTGTAATCAAGAATCAATACCATTAGGGAAATCATAATCATCAGTTTGAGTCTCCTTCTCCCACTCCTTCCACCTGCGAATCTAAAATGAAACTCATTCTTAACATACATAAACAAAAGCTACCCGTTATAACATTTAGCAAATTCATAAAGAAATTTATGAAATTCAACTATTTCGTTGTTTACCTTTGCTCTTCCAAGGGCCATTGTTATAGCACTGTAGGCTACATGAACTAGTGCCAAGAAGAAAATGAAGATGTGCAACTGATGCATTGAATGTACTGAAACAAATGGCACCTTTCCCTGTTAATAGAAGGATAATACAAGAGAATAATGTTAAATATCTGTATATTATATGAATTATAGGGTCAAACTTCATAATATAATAGTTTGAGATTAATAGCGTACCATATCTTGTATGCCGGGATTCTCTCATATACAATGATGTGGCTGAAACTCAGAAGTATGTTTATGAGAGATTCTTTATTCGTGGGCTGAGATTCAACCACGTCACTTTTATATGAGAAAATTACCTCATATGACAAGGAAGCTCATTATTCTATATTAGTTTACAGCCATGCATATACTGTTTATATCCCTTAACCTTTGCTATAACTTTAGAAGTTAGAGAAAGACTTATATTTGATTCAGACATTAGTTGTAATTACTTAAAATATCTTCTGATAATCAAGTAATAAATTTTCTGAAGCTGCTAGAGCATTGGGGGAAAATAGTTTCTTGTCACACCGATAAAGTATTCGTTAATAAGTTTTCGACATTATCTTTTGCTATGGGCTAAGAAGTATATTCATGATACTGAGAGAAAGAGTCTAGATACAAAGTGGTTTAAAACTCAGAAAATCTGAATAATTTTGCATCCAGGAAATCCATGAGCCAATCATCAATGAAAGACTGGTTAAACATTGTTTTCCATTAAGAAAGGATAGATGCTACATATACTAGCTAATATCAATATATATTTGCATAGCTCATCAATACATTAGTAATGAAATTGCAAAATTTCTAAAAGGTTTTACTTAATTTCTAAAAGGTTTTACTTACTTTCGAACATGGATTAGGCTGAGCTGATAAGATTCTACGGCTAGAATAGTTAGCAGCTAAAGTCCCTAAAAGTCGGCTTCTGCGACTTCCATCAAGTTGATCTCCTTCATCTGCTTCATTCCTCAGTTTACATGGAAGCATAGTACTCGCAGCTTTCTCTGGTATGCATATTTTTGCGATGTGATCTTGTGTAAAAGTCAGAAGGAAGGAAATGATTCNAAAATGGAATATGATTCATAATTTTGTTTTGTGACCATACATATCATATTGAGCAAGAGAACATAATTATTAAAATAAAACGCAAGAGATTAATTTTAAAAAAAAGATTACCGGCCTTCACTTTTGCAAGTGCTTCAAAGAGTGCCTTCTTTCTTTTCTCTGTCAACCACTGAAATTTACAGAACAAACTTGTTACAAAGGAATTATATGTCAGCTTAAATTATGATCAATATGATAGAAGATGGAAATAATCAAAACAAAAAATTAATTGGAGTTTGATGTTCAAAACCCCAGGGGAAAAAAAGCACCATCCTAATCAGCAAAACAAAAAAAAACTGACTAAATTGAAACAGAGATTTAGTGAAATTCACCATCCTAATCAGCAAAAAATACACCATCCAAATCAGCAAGAAAATACAACAAAAAATACCTAAATAAGAAAATACAACAAAAAATACCAAGAACAACTACTAATACCCAATACACCATCCTAATCAGCAAGAAAAGAATTGTAAAAAAAAAAAAAAAATTCTTTCTTCCCCTCATAAGAAACCCCATTTCAGAAATTTAAAAAGAGGGGTAAAGAATTATAAGGTACCTCGCCGATGTAATGAAGACCCTGTTCAAGTAAAATGGAGATGACAACGATGATGGCGCAAACTGAAGCAACAGCCCATGTGGGTGTTTGGTCTAGCTCTCTTGAGTTCTCTCCTCCTCCTGCCATTTTCCTCCCCCTTTCTCTCTCTTGAGATTATTATACTAGGCTCTCTAAATATAGAAGCCCTGGGTTTTGCAAGGAAACAGCAGAGGAGGTTTTTATTTGGTGGGAAAATTTTAGCAAAACCGGAAAAGTTTCTCTCTCTCTCTTTCTTTAAAGTTCGTAAAAACTGTGTTTGTAACAGTAGCTGCAGTTTGTGATCAATTGAATGTATTTATTGGCGGGGGAGTTATTCAGTATTGGTTGTGTCCTGAGATCCAATATAGTTTTGTACCCGCCAACCCGAATAAATATCCAATAACATACAGAGGAAAATGATTCAATATCTAACTAAAGTTTTTCCATCCTCTTATTCATTTTTACTATAAGTAAATAAATCTTATACCTTGGTTAGTCTTTATTTGTTGAAAGGCCAAATATTCAATTTAGTTATACTGCACACCTGAATCTTTATACATAGAGACATCTGCACTCTTAGTAGTTTAAGATCTGGTGGAAGTCACAAAAGAAGAAGATATCAAGACCTTGGTGATTTCATTTGATATATCTTGACATGTATGAATTGAGGAGTATGTACGTGAGGCATGCGATTGAATATGAAGATACTAATCGAAGCTAGGCCGAAATCGGGGTATTGAATGTTTTTTGAAGATTTAACGGATGAAACATGCACAATGAAATTGATTGATGAGAGATATCTAGACCCCTCTTGAGCTTATCAATCCAAGTGCTATTATCCAATTCTGGTTGTTTGTTCCTTCATGAATACTTCATACATGTATTTTGTCGCATGTTACTTTGAGAACAAACATTGCAAGAGATTTTGTCTAGGTATATGAACTTTCTCTCAGGGCAAATGATGAGATTTTTATAAGTGAATGGTTGTTGACAATTTCAATTTTCTTTATTATATGTGGTGATGAACATGTACATTGAAGTCGAAGTTACTGCACCTTCTGCAGTTCTTCTCATTAGCTGAAAAGCTCATCGAAGAATATTATGGTGCTATTATACCCAGCACAAATTCTTATAATCTTACATACATATCACATCTCAAACTCCTTACAACAAGAAAAACCACAACAAAATGAGGGACATAAATGAAAAGCAATTAGTTTTTATTTGCCAAAATAGCACATTACATAGACGACAAATGAGAATTTTTAAATAAAAAACTATAAAAAAAAAACTAAGAACAGCTGTTTACCAAGCTCATAAAACTATTAGAATAACAAAAATAAACAAGAAAATAAATTTTACATGGCTTCTATAAAAGTGTGAGTTCCAGCTTCGGCCTGTTGGGCTGCGGCTCTACAACCTCCATGTGAATCTTTACTGTTTGCAAGATACCATAACAAATGTTTGCGCCTGCTTTTGTCACTCTCTGATGTGCTTCATCTACAACCCAGTCACCAGCACTCTCTCCCTTAGCCATCAAATATACAGGTCCTTCTATACCAAACCTGAAAAAATAGAGATTGGATGTTAGTCGCGTTCACCGGTCTCATCTACAACTCTTTAAGTAGCGAAACGCTTCAATTTTACTTTCAAATCTTGTTTTGATCTCATGATAATAATAAGTATTTTTCCATCACTTAATTCACAAATCCAACTAGTTTTGTAATCTCACAGTGATAGTATGTTCCATTCGTAAATCACTTACAAAATCCAAGTTACGGAATAACATCATCAAATGTCTTCAAAATTGGGGAGTTTTTAATTTAATATACATTGCTGAATTATTGCAAAAGTGGTTTAAATTTGAAACACTGGTGTTTGGCGTTTGGCAAGCATGTTGTCCTTCTTTTGGGAAATATGTACGGTTGCTATTGTTAATTCACTCCTATCACAGCTTTGGCACACATAATGTATGTGTACCTATCATATATTCATATAACATAGAGTTAATTGCAATGAACCTCCTTTAGTATCACCAGCTGCGAATAGACCATCTGTAGTTCCATTGCTGCGGATAGACCCCTGTACTGGTGCCCAAGTGTGGATATGCCCCCAAGTGGTTTCTTTTACTCTTAAAATAATAATAATAACAAAAGTTGACTCAGGGGCTCTATCTGCACCAACAGAACTACAAGGGGTCTATCCGCAATTGGTCTACAGTACAGGTGGTGTATCCGCAATAATGATAGAACATCTATTGAGCCATTTATCAAGTTTTTGATAAAATCTCAAGTCGGACAATGGTAACCCATATAGCTGAGAGAATGCATGTCCATGTCAGAAAAATCAGAGGAGGAGATCATACTTGGGAACAAAGACTATAAATCCATTGGATTTTATCTTCAATATCCTGCCTTCGGTGTCAGTAGGCCTGCAACAAAATATAGCACAGTTTTCTTAGATGCTACCGCAGACAATAACAAGAATGAAATCCTTAGTTGCAAATAAAACTTTACCTCTTCCTGAAATAAATAAGTGTGTGTAATTCAACTGAGGCCCTGCTGGCCATCTGGGCATTTCTGTGCCGATAATTTAAATCTAGAGGCAACACTTTGATCAGTAAAACACATCATATGAATAACATAACCATGAAGCTTGAATATTAATCTTACTGTCAGCAATATTTGTAAGTTGTGGTCCATCCAGAAAAATAGGTGGAAGCTTTGCTATTCCAAGAGCCGCAGCTAGCAATCTGTGAACAATGACATCTGCAATATAGACAATTACCTTATTTGAATTATATTATTCCTGAAAACTAACTGGAATATTGGGTCTAGCTGGTGACACCAAATTTCTTTATATACTAAGCTACTGTTATCGAAAAAGAAAAGCTGCCAAATAAATAAAAAGGCGAAAAAGAGATAAAATGGACATTGCAAATCACAATTCCAACCACATACTTAAACGCCTGTTACAATTGCAAATAGATCCTACCTTCAGAAAAGTAAACAGAATACATGTCAAACTGTCTGGAAGTATCCAGTACAGGATCCCTCTCCACAACCAGGAGGGTGCACCTGTACTTTGCAGACGTGCAACAGAAAATGCTTGTACGAGTGCAAATATTAAGCATTCCAGTCACTAACTAGTCATAAAATCCACCACCACCCACCCACACCCCACCCCACCCCCCAAAAAAAAGAAAAAAACTTGGGGGGGGGGGGGGG